GGGGGGGGGGGGGGGGGTTGAATAACGGCCGTCTGTTGGTGTCGGTGGTAATGGACCGGGCCGGTGAGAGCGGGGCCGCAGCGGGACCGGAGGCCGCAGCAGGTGCAGCTGGTGGCCGAGCTGCAGCTGCAGGCTGCCCGCATGGCTGCAGCATGTGTCCGCAGCTGCACGTTCATCCACGTAGTTACCCAACATGAGGCTGGGTATCGATCCGGAGGGCTGGGTATCGATGCGTTTGATGTGTAGAGTTAATATCAGGTCAGCTGTTTTCTGTCTGCTGTTTGAAAGCAGCAGAAATCCAGATTTGAGTGTTTTTTCAGGATGTGTGCAGCTCCTGATCAAAGTGTAACAGCTTCAGATTGTTCTGGTTTCCCTCAGTCAGCTCATTTATCCACTGACAGAGTCACACGTTGAGTTCAAAGAGCTGAAGTTGATGTGCTGATCGTCAGAGCTGCAGACAGGACGATCAATGAGTGCACCTTTTAGCGATCAATCGGTGAACGCTTTGATCCGTTCAGCGTCGTCAGAAAAGTAGAAATTGTGTCTCTCAGTTAGTCAGAGTCCAAGGTGACATCTTGAGGTGAACTGTGGCTGAAATATTGATATTGATCGATCTGTGAAGGTCAATAAGTCAGCTTTGCATTGTGGAGCAGAACCTGAGGTTGGGAAGAAGTGATGGATCAGGTCCGTCAGAGCCGATCCGTTCTCTGGACCGATCGGCCGATAACTGGCTGCACAATGAACCCAGATATTGTCCCAATCACAGCGTGCGACTGGCTGAAGCTGCAGGTTTCTCTTCCATAAAGTCCAATCTGTGTAAAAACAGCTTTCTGTCCAAAGAACAAATGTCACATCTTCATGGTTTGAATGAGCTTTTGATGTCCAAATGATCCTGAATCATATCGCGACCGTAATATCTGGCAGCCCCACCGATCACTGCTGACTGATTCATATCTGTGTACTCCACCTGATAAACAACAACATCTCCTCACTGTTGTTTACACAACAACAAACCAACAACATGTTTAAAACCACGTTTAGTCTTTCACTCCCTCCCAGTCTTAAACATTGGCAGAACAGAAAGCCTAGAAAGCATTTGGCATCAGTATTCATAATAAAGTGGCTCTAATTGAGTTGTCCTAATGACCCATAATAATCTATATTTCACATTCTGCTGCGTCGCTCCTTCGGCCAAAAACAAGTCAAAGAAATGTGTTTGTCCTTCAGTTCAGAGCCGTGCTGAATGTGTAACGTCTGCGGGACAATACGACGTAAAACAACGTCAGAAGAAACAGCTGGAACAAGACTGCCATCGTACGACACGATGAGCCTCGTTAAAGCTTCTCCAGCGTCTTCACACAGCCCCGTCCCTACAAACCAAAGGGCTTCACGTCACTAACACAAGGAGACATTTAGCCCAGAACCACCGCAGTCAAACGTCCAACATCCCAAAACCAAAGTGCGTCTAGAAACGAAAGAGCGGCGAGAGAAACGACGGCACAGCGAGGATTCAGCGCTCCAAAGGAAGAGTGTAACGTGGTGCTGATGCTGTTTGTGTCAGCAGAGATGAGTTTGCAGATAATGTGGGCTGTGTGTTCAGACTGCTGCAGAATAACAGTTACCTGCTGCAGGACTCAACGTACCAACCAGCACTCCTCTCCTTCAGGACACCTGGACACTCACACCTGTACCTGCTGCAGCACAATGGACACTTGTGGCTCAGTGATGAGCAGAAGACTTCAGATGGGACAGCGAGCTCGTTGGGCCCAGTGACGTCTTCACATCAGTGCTGAACAAGTGATGGAAATGTTCTGGAAATCACAACGTGGCCAAGTGCAAATCCCAGGAGCTGTAATGTGTTCTGGAGGTGAGACGTGAGCGACAGCGTTGTGATGAAGCAGTGTGGAGCTGCAGAGCGGAGCTGCTCGACGGATCCTGTTCTCCAGCTTTAACAGCACGTTTGTTTGCTGCAGACCCCCGACAGCGTCACAGTGAAGGAGCTTTGAATCTGTAGTGGAAACCGTTTGAACTGAGTGAAAGTCACGTGGCAACATGTGGCAGATACTGAGAAGAGGATGTTGTGAGCACGTGGTGCAGCCCTGCTTCAGACCATAACCCCACTGATGCTGCTGATGTTTGGGAGTTTAAAGAATCCCATCAACGGCCAGAACGTGTGGCGGGAAAACGCCCCGTGAATAACTGAATCCTCGTGTTGATTAAAGGCACCTGAAAGAGTCCCACACTGAGTCTGAGCGGCAGAGTTCATGTGGCTCTGATGTCCCTCCAGATCAGCAGCCTTCACCAGATACAACCAGCTGTGTTTATACTGCACCTTTCAAAATAAAGCTCCAGGTCAACAGCCAGACAAAAGAAGTGAGGAGCTTTAAGATGCTACGTAGACGACTTCAGTGCAGACTGTGCTGATGCAGATGTGTGTGTTAATCCTCTATTCCAATCTGATTCAGGGTCAGTGGGAATGATTCTTTCTGATGGTTTCTTTCACCTGGAGAACATTTGTTGGCAGCGCTCCTTCATTACAACGCTGTTTGTCACATTTTAGATTTTAGAGGAGGTGACTGCTGCGTTTATATGTGTGGGGGGGAATCAAGAGCAACAACCTGACAGCTGTCTGTACTCCATATCCCATCATGCTCTCTGTCTGCCCCCCCCCCCCTTTAGACCCCGTGGAGGCGGCGGCGGCGGCGGCGCCGGAGGCCCCAGGAAGCAGAAGGAGCTGCCGTCAGAGCCCCCGTTCACGGCGTACGTGGGAAACCTGCCGTTCAACACGGTGCAGGGAGACATCGACATCATCTTCAAAGAGCTCAACATCCGCAGCGTCCGATTGGTCAGAGACAAAGAGACAGACAAGTTCAAAGGTCAGTGTCACCGTCCACAGAAACCCTGAGATCTAAACACACACTGACAACCAGGACAGCACTAATACGCACTAATACACGGCTGC